GTATTAATTGTTAAAATAATGATAACGTAACATACATTATCATTATTTTAACAATTAATACTATTTTTATAAATAATAGCACCTTTTCCATAACATACAGAAAAGGTGCTATTATGTATAAAAATAGAATTAATTGTTAAAATAATGTTAACATAACACACAGAAAAGGTGCTATTATTTATAAAAATAGTATAAATTGTTAAAATAATGATAACATAACATACAGAAAACGTGCTATTATTTATAAAACATAATTACTTCACAGAATGACGATAACATACAGAAAAAGTGCTATTAACTGTCAGTACAAAAGTAGAGTCTTAATTAATCTAATTACATTATCAGTGTTTCTGTACTAATAAATTTGGTCATTATTGCTCAGAAACGTAGTTATTTCGATTTAGTAACACTAATATTTTTACATGTTAAGGATCTTGGAAAATTCAGCTAAAAATGTTTGGTTTATCATAACTCATAAAGAAATGTTTTATTTAGAAAGAAAGAAACATTTCACGCTAATAATGTTGAAAAATGACTCCTCACACGCTAATGATGTGTGAACAATTTTCGCAACTAAAGCGTAATTAACTCCGCAAGATGCTAAGCCTTTCTTGGAGTTGTGCTCAAAGTATTCGAAATATATATCATAAGCATCCCCATCTCAATATATTTGTTGCTGGTAAGAAGTCCACAAAGCGCTGAAGATTGTACAGATCTCCCCTGGGTCGTCGCTACGACCACTACGGTAAGTGCAGTCTATTTTAACAACAGAACCTGAAGAACACGAACGCGAGTTCACTAAGTAATGACGCAGAAGCGTACGCTGGAATGCGCGCACATCAAGTAATGACGCATAAAACGTGTATCATTAATCTCTTTCTCATTTCTAGATTACAAGGAACAGAAAATTCCTTTTACAAGAATATACACAGTGCGCTCGGGAATCAAGTTACTTTTTAAAGCCTGGCTAAAGATGTGTGTGTGTGTCTGTGAATGTCAAACCTTTCCCTGCTGACGGTTCGTGTTTCTCTACACTGTACATAAAATTATGTGACGTAGAAATAACGTTTCAAGACGCTTCTTCAAAATTTGGAAATTGTTCAAATATTTTAAGTATAGATTTTTCCTTAGATGATTTAGCTCAATAGTAAATATGAAAACTCGTCAAACAGAATCATCAGCGTTAATGTTTCACTTTATTGTGATCTTTATGTAGACGTTACTTGGCAACTGTGAAAAATTAAATACATTTTAAAAGAATATGGTTGATGGTAGAGGAAACTTAAACAGGCATATTTCATTCTGTAAATTAATAATCAACCATTTTTCTCATAACGCTGGAAGTTTGGCCTTGATGACATTCACACCTTAACCCTAGATTAACCGATTGGATATACGGGAGGTCTGTTAAACTTTGGCTTTGATAAGATACCATCTTAACCCTAGATTTACTGGCTGGATCCACAGGAGGTCTGCTGAACTTTGGCTTTGACAAGACACCATCTTAACCCTACATTTACTAACTGGATCCACAGGAGGTCTGCTGGACTTTGGCTTTGACAAGACACCACCTTAACCCTAGATTTACTAAGTGGAACCACAGGAGGTCTGCTGGACTTTGGCTTTGACAAGACACCATCTTGACCCTAGATTTACTGACTGGATCCACAGAAGGTCTGCTGAGCTTTCGCCTAGACAAGACGTCATCTTAACCTTAGATTTACTTACGGGATCTAAATGGACCCCACTGGACTTTAAAACGTTTTGATATGTTGTTTGATTTTTTTTATTCACCAGATTGCTGGTGAATCTGTGAAATTGCTGGCTACAGTGTCCTAATAATATGTAAGTCACACACAAATACAGAACAGTAGTAGCATTTCGATTTTATTAATTATTGTTGAAAGTTTCCTGTGTGTTTTGCACACAAAATCAATGACTTCATCTAATATTTTAGTCACATCTTTGTAGTCACTATTGTAACAAACAAAACCAAAGAATTACTCAATATATCTTTCAGATAAAATATTTGCACCTCTACCTAACAGAAGTAAAAACCATGGTTGGGTGGGTGAGTATGTTTTCTTATAGCTAAGACACATTGGGCTATCTGCTGTGTCCACCGAGGAGGATCGAACCCCTGATTTTAGCATTGTAATTCTGAAGAACAGGAGACGGAAGTTTTTTTTTAGTGTAAGAACGTGGTGCTATATATGAATGAAGTTAATATTATCTTACGTCAAAGATAATAAATGCTCAAAAACATCAATATTGAGAAGGATTGGTTATGACCCCCCCCCCCCCATTAAGATGCCCCTTTGTTCCAAACTATCATCCCACAAAGTTTAGGAGTAGTTATATAACAGACAGACAGCCACACAGATTTTTGTGCTTTCTATATACATAGTAGACTCGCACTAATGTCAAAAATTCACTTGGTCTGTGGTTTATTCCGCCATATTGAACATCAAGTGCCCGCTTTTCTTAGATGAAAAATGACATATAAAACTTGTAATATCATGCTATCTGACGCTGTAAATCATCTCATTGATGTCATTATACAAAGAAACGTACAGCTGTACAGTTTCGGGTGCATGTCTGTTGTCATGGCAATAACTGACAATGTTAATCCACCACAAAATAAAAAACCAAGACAATCTTCACATTTAAGTAATTTTACTTAATTTAAACCCTGAATGTACAGGAAAGAGATCCGAAACGTCATCGAACATTGTTTTTTGTTTGTTTTTGAATTTCACGCAAAACTATACGATGGCTATCTGCACTATCCGTCCCTAGTTTAGCAGTGAAAGATTAGAGGGAAGGCAGCTAGTCATCACCACCCACCGCCAACTCTTAGGCTACTCTTTAAGCAACTAATAGTGAGATTGACCGTCCCATTATAACGCCCCCACGGCTGAAAAGGCGAGCATGTTTGGTGAGACGGAGATTTGAACCCGCGACCCTCAGATTGCGAGTCGAGTGCTCTAACTACCTGGTCATGCCAGACTCATATCCCTTTCATTGAAACTGTGGTTCTCTGGGATCGTTTTGTCATATCCAAGTCGCACCCCCTTTGATTTTGGCCCTAATGTGTACGCCCAGATTTCCAGACAGGGCAGACTATGCCTACGCAAATGTTCGAATAAAATATGCTCATTAGTTCACAAACGGTAAGAATGGGAAGGCTTTAAAAGCCACACTTTTTGTAGGTCATACCCTTTCATCCCTCACAGAATTACCATGTTCAGTTCTTACAGGCACCTTATCACCCCTTCCACCAGCTCTTCCAGCTAACTTTTACTTCTACTGCCTGTGATGTCATAATGATATGCTCTCTAGAATGCTTTGTAATATACAAACATACATATAAATTAAAGATAGCAAGGGATATGTTGGTTCATCTAGGACGTTCTGTCCACTAAACTAGATTTTAAAATAAAATAAGAATACTCAAAGCCAGCCCTTCTCATTGAAATATTTACCATTTGAATTATCTGCATCTACCACATCTGAAGGAAACCCATTCCAAAGGCCAACCACCCTCTTAGAAAAATAAAGCTGTCTTATATGACTCCTACTCCTATCCAATTCACAACACATCTGATCAGTGTCTTCAATTAATCCAGCTGCCCAATTCACAACGCATCTGATCAGTATCTTCAATTAATCGAACTGCCCAATTTACAACGCATCTGATCAGTATCTTCAATTAATCCAGCTGCCAATTCACAACGCATCTGATCAGTGCCTTCAATTAATCCAGCTGCCCAATTTACAACACATCTGATCAGTGTCTTCAATTAATCCAGCTGCCCAATTCACAACGCATCTGATCAGTATCTTCAATTAATCCAGCTGCCCAATTTACAACACATCTGATCAGTGTCTTCAATTAATCCAGCTGCCCAATTTACAACGCATCTGATCAGTATCTTCAATTAATCCAGCTGCCCAATTTACAACACATCTGATCAGTAGTCTTCAATTAATCCAGCTGCCCAATTCACGACACATCTGATCAGTATCTTCAATTAATCTAGCTGCCCAATTCACAACGCATCTGATCAGTATCTTCAATTAATCCAGCTGCCCAATTTACAACGCATCTGATCAGTATCTTCAATTAATCCAGCTGCCCAATTC